CTGGAAAGAGGAATCAGGCAGAGCCGCCCAATTTCACCACAATTATTTACATTAGCAACTCAAATGCTTACCTTACTAATTATGAAAAGATTTTCATTTGCATGGTATTAATAGGGATGCTCCAATCAGATTTTCTGCTGCCGATTCCGATACCAATCACCGATCTTTGCCGATTGCCTGGATTGACTGTTAATTTTTTGCTTTAGGTAGAATAGAGAGCGCTTCCTTGGTGTCCCGCCCAGCGCGAACACAAAGGAAGCGCTCTCCATTCTGTACCAGCCTGTCAGTACACTACAAAACACACACCTGGACTCGGTCTGCATACTCACTGGCGATTTTAATCAGGCCCATTTAAAATCTGTAATGCCACACTACCACAAGTGTGTGAACTTTGCTACAAGAGAGGAGAACACACTTGGCCAGGTCTACACCAACATCATTCAGGCTTCAGAGCAGTTCCCCACCTGGGCTCATCAGACCATCTCTCTGTTATGCTAATTCCAGCCTACAGACCTCTGTTGACGAGAAGCAAACCAGCTGTGAAACAGATCAGGGCCTGGCCAGAGGGCGCCACAACAGCACTACAGGACTGTTTTGAACACACAGACTGGCCTGTTTTCAGGGAGGCGGCCACCACCAACCAGGACGTCAACCTCACCTAATACTCAGACTCAGTAACTGGATACATAACAAAATGCATGGAAGATGTAACGGTCACCAAGGACATTACAGTGAGACCAAACGAAAAACCCTGGTTCACTCCTGAGAGCACGCAACGTTGCCTTCAGGTCTGGGGACAAGGAGGCCCTCAAGTCAGCCAGGGCCAACTTGCACCGGGGTGTGAGAGCAGCCAAGCGTGCTTATGGTGAAAAAATCAACTCGCACTTCAGACACGAAAGACCCAAGACGCCTGTGGCAAGGCATCCAGTCAGTCACAGACTATAAGCCAGCCCCCCCAAAAACATTTACATAATTTGTGAAATTTCAATAAAGTTGACTTTACTATTCACACTTGTTCCATGCGGGTTTTTTAAGTTCAATTCTAATTCAAAACCACAAATCCCAAACATGGTTTTGGGATTTGTTGAAAATTCTGCTATTAGTTGAAAATAATCCAGTCCAGGTTCGAAGAGTCTAGGTGTTGCAGTTTTTAAACTAGACTCGATTAGATGCGGAAGGTAGTGAAAAACTAGGTGGAATCACCCTTTACCCATTTCCCGAATCGGAAGCT